CGTTCTTGAGTTATATTTTCTGCCAAGCTGATCATATTCACTAGATATTGGTGGGCAGCCATCTCCTTTTCCATTGTTTCTTCCAAGTGCTGCTTCAAAAGACCGATCTTCTTCTGCGACCGCCTGCATGGTTTTGGCAGAAAGCAGACAAATCTCTTAGGGAGCAATTCAATTTTATTTTAATTCAATATTGGGATTCAACTCACAAAGGAGTTGCAAAAAATTATATTTGGGTTAGCACCCCAACCAAACGATTAAAAGAATCAGTCATCAAATGCCCACTGAAACAGCACACTTTTATTTTTACAGGATTTAATATAACTAAAAGTCATTGTGTAGGTTTTTTTTTAATGAATTACCATAAAGAAACTATCTAACCAGTTAAAATAGCACCTTTACCATTCTTTCGTACTAATAAAAGTACCAGTAGTAGGCTTTGGGAAAAGACTGCAAGGAAAGCACCAGGCTTACTACAGGTAGTTCTCCACTTATGATCACAATTGAGCCCGAAATTTATGTTGCTAAATGAGACATTTAAGTGAGTTTTGCCCCATTTTACGACCTTTCTTGCCACAGTTGTTAAGCCAATCACCGCAGTTGTTAAGTTAGTAACACAACCTCTGGCTCCCCATTGACTTTTCTTGTCAGAAGATCTCAAAAAGTGACTGCATGACCTCAGAACACACTGCAACCCGTCGTGAATATGAGTCAGTTGCCAAGCATCCGAATTTGGATCCTATGACTATGGAGATGCTGCAGTGGTCATAAGGGTGAAAAACGGTCATAAGTCACTTTTTTTCAGTGCCACTGTAACTTTGAACGGATCAGTGAACAATCTCTTGTAAGTCGAGGACTACGTGTGTAAGGGAAGAAAAGTAGTGGACCAAGGTGACAAAGATGAGAAAGATGACAAGAGAAAGATTTTAAAACATTTTTCTCAGCTATGATGACTACAAAGATGAACCCAATTTAAAACAAGTATTAGCTTTATTTTGATTATTACTTCATATGCAGTCTTAAAAAGCTTTCAGTATTTTAAAAGAAGCAGGCCACCTGCACATCCAGTGACCAAAAACTGTCTTTCTGAGAGGCTGCAAAAGGGAGACAAAAGCACAAGAACAAAAATAAGTAAACCTTTTAGTCTTCTGGGCCATTTCCAGCTCAGCTTCTAGAGCCTTGTTTTCTGCCACCAGGTCATTTTTCTCAAGGAACAGGCTCTTCGTTTCCGCTTGGACAGAGGCGAGTTTTTTCACTAGTTCCTGGGTCTCCATCTCTCTCTTTTCCTGTTCTCTCTGCAATTGGCTAGAGAAATAATAATGAAAACCAGGCAGCAAACCAAGGCATCCATCTTCATAACTTGTAGAAATGAACAGATCAATTATGGTTGATTCAGTAGTGAAAGAAATAAATATTTCTGACGACATGGCAATCGCTGCAAATGTTAAAAGCTTGCAGCTACAATAACCAAGGCACTTCATTAAAACATTTGGCATACAGTAAGAACCCACTTCACAAAGTCTAAAGCTGTAGACATAAAAATGGCAAAGTATTGTAAAAAGTACATAAAACACACTGGCAGGAATGGGACTTTTATAATCAGACGCTTACTTTTTAAATTTATTTTCCAAGGCAATGTGCTCCTCTGCTCTTACGTAATCAGTAACGCTGGCCTTTAATTCTTTGTATGCAGAGCGTAATTCTTCCAGCTTTTTCTGACAATCTTTCAATTCCACTTCTTGGTTTTGTTTTTCGGTTTCCAGAGTAATGAGCTGTTTGGTCAGTTTGGAAACTAGACCAAAATTATGGATTGCCCAAAATTCAAAACATTTGGGGGGAAAAAAGAGAAAATTAGATTACAATTTTTGTTCATATGGATATTTTTCAATTCCAGTCTAGTGATTCTTACATGTTAATTTGCAGTACTACTATTAGCTATAAATCTTCCTTTTTACAATTCTGTAATATCAGTGCAAATTGTTCAGCTGCTGTCAAATATGCCATTACATCTGTAAATATTAGCAGGACCAGCAACTACAGTGAAAAAAATAACCATCTCTAACTCTAAATTTTATTTTGTCTCTTTTATATTGCTGATGACACTGACTTGCAAATGAATACAAACATATGTATGACACAATGTTATTTATTTTAGATTTCCATATTCTGGTTTATAGCCATGTTTCATTTTACCATGATGAAACTTGAATGTGTATCATATTAAAATTAAATAATCAACTACTGCAAAGTTTTACTAAGTATTACAAACCAAAACAAATCTGAAAAGATTTCATGGCTGAATTGATAGTAGTCACTGATTATCAATACCAGTAATTCTAAACAGGCTTACAAAACTTTTACCTTTGGAGGTAAAATTGATATCTCTCTCTATTCACATTTGTTGGGTGCAGAGATAAATTTATTTCACCTTCTTTAACATGTTGGTTGATGGTGTCGTTTATTTTGGTTTCTTGTATTTTAAGCTGCTCCATTAATACTCTATTTTCTTCCAGGACAAGCTTGGCTTGACTTTGCAAATGCTGCCTGTAAAGGAACATTGATTTGAAATTTGAAATAGCACTGAAACCTTCCTGCAAAGAGTTCAAAATAATATATAGTAATAATAAAATAAACCAAAATGCATTTAGAATATATGTGTCCTATGGGAGAAATCTCTGTATAGATGTTATATTGTGAATAATTACATTTTTCTAGGCAAAATCTGGTATTTCTTTTAGGACAGCATTCTTGGCATGTGCTGTTTCTGCTATCAAATATTCACTAAATATTCACAAATTTTCACTAAGAAATATAACCACTTAATAATAACCAAATAGCAATAGTTATTTTAAACTTAAAAATAAGTTTAATATAATATAATGTATACTGATCATATTATTTCTGCTTATTTAAACATTGTTGAATTTTTACAGGATTTAATATAACTAAAAGTCATTGGGTAGGTTTTTATAAACAAATTACAATAAAGAAACAATCTAACAGGTTCAAATAATAGTACCCTTACCATTCTTTGGTATTAATAAAAGTACCAATATTTTTAGTTAATTTTTGGTGTAACTGCTCGTTTTCCTTCACTACTTCTTCCACTTGTACTTTAAACATCTTCATGCTTTCCTGAAGGAAAAGCAAAACAAAACATATATTCACCATGGTAAATTCAACAAATACAATTTGGTTTTACGATGAAGAAGATGATCCTTATGGGATTCATTAAATTGAGTCATTATTGTCTTTTAAATATCCCAACGGATAATCACACTGCTCTACTCCAATCAGAGTTTATATTATAAATATAATGTGGACTTTAGCAGAGACGAAATGGTCAATTTTTTAAAAAGTGGTAAGGGACTGAGGATGGGAAATAAGGTCCGTTTGTATAAAACTTAAGAGTAGGTGAGAGGCCTAGAAGTGGAGCTCTTGCCTCACAGTCAGGAGGCTGTGAGGTGGTAGGTATTAGCAGAAATTTCCTTCTTTGGGCAGAAAGAGAAAATATCTGCTGTGAGCTGTGCGTAGGCATCAGGAAAGGGAATCCAGCCAGTAAATGCTTGGTTCCATTCAGTCACCCCGACTCAAGGGATTATAGGGTCATGTATATATATATATATATATAGCAAAAGCACTTAGACATAGACCTCTTCACGGTGCTTTACAGCCCTAAGTGGTTTACAGCAGTGATCCCCAACCTTTTTTATGCCGCGGCCCGGTACCGGCATCAGCTGGGCGCCGCGGCCCGGTACCGGCATCAACTGGGCGCCGCCATCTTTTTTTGATGAAAAAGTGCTTCCGGTGAGCTTTCTACCCGGAAAAGCTCACCGGAAGCACTTTTTTATCAAAAAAAGATGGTGGTGCCCAGCAACCAGCGGCCCGGTAAGACTTGTTCCGCGGACCGGTACCGGTCCGCGGACCGGCGGTTGGGGACCCCTGGTTTACAGAGTCAGCACATTGTCCTCAACAATCTGGGTCCTCATTTTACCAACCTCACAAGGATGGAAGGCTGAGTCAACCTTGTACCTACTCTTGTAATTTAAGAGTAGTCCCTCTTAAACAGCAGATTAGGTGAAAGTTCTCCTAAAGTGAAAGAAAACAGCCTGACATTTTCCTTGACCACTTAGTTTTTATGTGTAAGAATCATATATTTTATTTTTTTAAACTTATTGTGTATTTGAACACTTGGCAGCACTGATTTGCAAAAATCTATTATTTCCAAAGATATTTTAGACTGAACTGTATTATACAAACACTTTCCTAGTCAAAAGGCATTGCACAGATTTTAAAATACAGAGCTGTTAACTTGCCTCATGCTCTAGAATCAACTCTTCCTTTTCTTTCATTCTGTCTTCATAGGCCAACAGAAGAGGAGATAAATATTTCATGTCAAGCTGAACAAAATAAAGAAGGAATCTTCAACCCATTAAAATGTATAGCAGCATTAGACTTAAAACATTTTAGTGAAGATTATCTAATCAGATAACAATATTTTAAGATTTTATTTTAAGATGTCAATAAGATAATTAATTATCTACAATTTGGAAACAGATAACGGTGAACATATCAGATGCTATAAAATGAAAATTGTTAACTTATTACTTACCAGCCATGGGGGTATTGGTTTTTTCATTGGCAGACTTCCAATCTTCACACTCTTAAGATAGTAAAAATATAAGCCACATTAGTACCAACAACTTCCTGTACCTATGCATTAAGGAAGTATATTTTTTAAAAGAAATCACAACCAGACTAATACAACCAAAACCTCAGACACCTATTAAAATTGAAAGTGGAAAGGAACTATAATGAATAATCTTGATTAAATAAATAAACAAGGATGCAAACAGGAAGAGTATACATGATTTGATAGAAATAGCTGAGTGATCAAGCAAGCATAGCATCTCCCCTGTTTGTTAAAGTAGAGAATCCTTTTTCAGACTTTCATCTGAAAAAAGATACTACTGCTTTAAAGAGTCAAGGCATAATGAGGATGAGCAATAAACAGGGTACATGGGAACTGCTATCTTCATTACACTCTGCTTTGGTCACCAACATTGTGTGCTGAGAACCAGAATGCCATATTCCAGTTCCATGAGGACAGGATCTCTCTGTGATGGCAGTGAACTCTGGGATTGGAATAATGGTACATGAGCTTGGGAGACAAGGCAAAAAAGACACAGCCAAGGGACTGGTCAGATAAAAGGCAGCTGAGCTCACAGTAAGAATTCAGGCAAAGCAAGAGGCTCAGCTGCCTTTCATCTGACACAGGTCATTCTCACATACCATTACAGGAATGCTCTCTCTTCATGAAAGGCTACAAAACTATAGTACATAGTTGGTACTATAACTAAACTTTGAGGCACCTGCTAAAGATGTACCACTTCTCTGTATTAATGTTGCAATAAAGATTGGTGTTTGGTTACATTTTTCTTCTCTTCACTATTTTAGTGACTCTGTTAAATTTATACATTTTTAGTTTTATTGTGCGGGTGATGGAAGTAACTGTTCTGTTGTAAATGGCTATAAAAATTACAATAAAGGGAAAAGGTATTATTAAAATAAGAGCAACTATCACTAACAATAACAACAACACGGAGGAAAATTTTGAAAGCCTTTCTTGTGGTCACATTGGAAAAGAGAGTATATGATACCCAAGCTAGAACACTGCTGTTAAAGAGAGGTGAATGTCTTTTTTACGAGAACCAATAAGCTGGGAATGCTTAAACACTAAAGATACTATATTCTAAACAATCTTGAGAGAACATTACCTCATTGGGGGAAATTGGTCTGTACTTTGTTTGATAACGACTTAGTTCTGCATTTAAGCGATGAACAGTCATTTTCAAACTATCATTTTCATCTACTAGTTCCTGGGCTTGTTGTCTTAATAACAGCAATTCTGCGCCTTCCTCTGGATTAATACAAAAAAAGAAAAAGCAGATTAAATTTTATAGCCAGGTGCATATTACTAAAACATCTCCAAAATCTAACTGAAGCTGAAGGCTGTATAATCAAATTGAACTTCTTTAAAGATATGGTGATTCCATAAAACTATTTAAAATTCACATGTACAACTAGGAATCCCCAAACAAAATGCAATTCAGGAGCTATATATGGCAATTTAATACACCTATTTTGCTGCTAGTCTGAGATTGTATAAATGAGAAGATTCATGGGCAGGAATAAATCGTGAAAGCTAAAAAATTGTGCAGGCTATAAAATATAACGCAAATCCAAAGGACCACATGACAAAATCTATGCATGTAACTTGGGACTACAGGTCAATGACAACAGCAGATACTTTATATGAAGAAGATACTAGGTAGAGCCAATTAAAGGACCAGGCAGCAGATGATGGAGGTGGTGGTGGAAATTCTGCTTAAGACCCCTAAAAACCCACACCTAGGGGTCCAGAAGATCAAACCTGCCTGGATGGATATTACGTAATTTTGGAAATTACGTTTAAAAAAATAGCCTAAATCTAAATCTAATGAGAATAAGGAGCAGAGTGTTCCATTACAACTGACATGTGATGATGATGTCCTCATTTTGGGAAGGATGAAACCATCAAAGGCAACCTGCTCAAATGTCCTTGATATTTTATGACATGCTTCAAAGAATCCTATCCTGAGGGGGGGAACTGGAATGACAAGTTAAATCAGTGTACTTCAAATGCCAGCCTTAAGATCCGAGGAAGTGCATAAAAGCACTTTCAAAGTGGATCTAAAAAAGCAACAACAACAAAAAAAACCTGGACCCAGCAGAGGAACCCACAGCAAAATGGAAAAATCTTTCCCAAACAATCCAATTGACCTGCTCATTCAGAAATGCATTTCTTGGGACATAAATTCTGGAAGAGGAGAGTCATAGGACAAACATCAGGTTACTAACTCAGTTAATTTTTAAGGTGCTTTCTTAAATATGATACAAAACATTACCATCTGTTTTTATCATCTCAATTAGTTCCAGTTAAATACATTCTAACTTATCATTTCCCCCATATCTTTCCTAAATTTGCCAGATATATTAAATAATGGTACATGTAGAATGATAAAATTCAACCATTCTTCCCTTGATTCCCACGTATATAGTTTTATTCTCTCCCACATGAACACCATAAATTATATTTAAAGAAAATAGATTCCTTTGCACCTTCACTGTGTGAATTCTGCTTTTCCTTAAACTGCCTGTTCTCTTTTTCCAATTTCATAATTTTTAATTGGAGTTCCTTGATTAACTGCTTTGACTGTTCAAGTTCGGAAAATAAGGTCTGGTTTGCATTGTTTAGATGCCAATGTTGTTCTTTTAATTTCTGGAACTTCTCTCTGGGGAGAACCATCTGTTCCTGTTTTCTGTGGAGGACTGCATCTACCCAAGAAATGAAATAAAATATTTATCAGTCACATAAATATATGCAAACCTTTTGTTAAAACGCCTGTACTCTAAGAATCTTTATTTAGAAGCAGGCATTTTGCATTTATGAAAAGGCTTCTGTCTCAACTTAATCCACTCCAGTAGCTTGAAGATACTTATAACATTAATAATTATTAAAGTTACACAAGACATATCTTAATTCAATTGCAAACTGCAACAGATTGTTATGTTTTTATTTTGTGGGAAACAATTTACCGTCTCTTCACCCTCTAAAAGTCTTATGGTGAGACCAGATGTACATTGAGACTGGGGCTATTATTAATACAAAATATACAGAGTGCAGTATTTTGGAGTTAAAGTAGAAAAAAAAATGCAGGGAACATACAGTATTTTTCTAGCATACACAGCAACCTCCATTTCCATTTTATATTCCACGGTTTAGCATTTTACCCAAATCTCAACAATAGCTTATGTTAACAACACAGGGAAACAAACAAGTCCCAAATTCTTGTTAGGTTAAATTATGGCTCAGAACTACACTCAATCTATTCCGTAGAATCCAACACAACTCATTTACACTAAACTTAAATTTAGAGAGTTTGTACCTGAAGAGGAAGGCGGTATTTTATTCAGGGGAGTTTCACCTGAGTTGTCTCCCTAGAAATGGAAGAAAATATTTAACCTAATTTCTTGAAGGACTCCTCATTTCTCCCCACAAAATATCAGCAACTATTCCAAAAGGTATACACTGAACATTTAAAATTGATGTTCTTTAGTTCTAACTTGGAAAGTTCTTAAAAAAATTTTTTAAAAAAATTCTAGATTCAATCGCTTAAATAAAAATGGAACTTAATTTTTATGCTGTTCTTACCTTAAACCTCACTCCAGGATGTTCAATTTCTGTAATATAAAAATGTATTTGTTTTGAGGTATAAAAGAGAAATATATCAAATGCTCCTAATCAAGCTTGAGCTTTCATGATCTGTCTAGTTTCACCTCATTTAGTTTCTATTTTTTCCACCTTTATCTTAAATAAATATCTTGGCAAGTGTAAAGGAAAACAGAGGTTTGTGCAATGAGGGTTTTTATAAAATGCTATTTTTTGCTCTATTCACGGAAAAAGGTGAAAAGAAATATATGTTAAGATATAGTCACTCTTGTCCTGTTCATTTGGATTCAAGTTCTCTCTTTCTCACTGTCAACTATGCAGTCTTTCCCCACATGGAGGGAAAAATTATCAGAGTCTGAACTACAGTACTAAACCAAACAACACTAAAGGTGGGAAACAGATGGTAGAAATATTTATCGTCTCCTTAATCCTAATGCTCATTTCTCACCTTCAACCTGAACATTTGGCTGGATGAGACAACTTGGTTCGCAGACAAAAGAATCTTCTTCACCATTGGCACTAGAAGATACTTGGAGTTTTTCCTAAATAAAATTTTTGCAATACATTATAGAAACTGATGTTACCAAAAGGCTCTAGGCAGCTGACGATGTCATTAAAAAACAGAACATTGATTAAAAAGAGGAAAACCAAAAACACATGAAAGGACAAATAGTGGGTGCAATGTACAGTATGTGCTTGAACGCACATTAAACAAGACATAACAAACTGCAGCCTCCTGAGCCTTTGATGTCCTGTGAAAGCATCCCTCATGCTCAAATTGAACCATGAAACAACAGACTCTATGATTTCCTCACAGTTTTTAATGGATAGTGAAAGGAAATAGGAGCTGTGGAGGCACAGTGATTGGAATGCACTACTGCAATATTAAACCCCGCCCACAGCCAGGAGTTCGATCCTGACCAGCTCAAGGTTGACTTAGCCTTCCATGCTTCTGAGGTTGGTAAAATGAGGACGTAGATCAGGGGTGTCCAACCTTGGCAACTTTAAGACTTGTGGACTTCAACTCCCAGAATTCCTCAGCCAGCTTTGCTGGCTGAG